ACAAAAACACCCGGTACTGGCGCATGTCTTCTTAGTATTCCTGGTTGGCCATCTTCCTTTTACCCTGTCTCTCTAACCAACATGATGCTGACTTTGGCCATGATTTACAGGGGAAAGCTACCACTGAGTCTGAATCTCTGTAACCGTTTATTCCCTGCGAAAAAAAGGATGGTCCATGTTGAGCAGTATATGTTTTATGTAAACTGTCATCATAAATTGTGTTCTTTAACAAAATTCGTCCTTTTCTATCAGTTATATTGAGATAATTAGGAATGGTAACAGCAAGAAAGGGTTTATCACTTTCGGTTAGTTGTAGGAAACAATATCCAGGGGTAGTGGTCTCATCCTGTATCATCAGATAGTTGATCTTGGAAAGTTCCCACTCTGACAGGTCTTTTATTACATTAAAACTATTATCAATAGTAAGCATGTCAAAGTCTGACTTTAGTCCTAAAGTAGTTGTTCCCTCAGAATGACTCCCTAGAAAATAGTTAATAGAATTACTTCCAACTGGCTTCATTGATACGGTAAACATAGTCTCCATCAACTTGAAATTTCTTCTTGCTTTCATCACCATTCTGTCATTCACACCAATATCATTTAAGACCTCTGATAACATAAGTGATATATGTTTCCTGCTGTCAGTTGATTGAAACATTCTGCAATGTAAGGAAAGAGAAAATTGCATAAGTTAGTCACAAATTTTCTTTTGTTAAATACTTCTACTTCTTCTTATAAATTACTTTTGTCCTTAATGCCTGGAGCAGAACAAAACTAAAGATTAATAAGTATCGATTAATGAAAGACATACTAGTATTTAGTTCAGTGTATTGGCAATTTGCGTTTACACCCTTTTCAATATGCCAAAGACAGGAATAGTCAGGGGGTGAGGTATTTAAATTTGCTAGAAACTTTTACTCGGATACATTATTTATTTAAAACGAACAATTTAAATATTTTACAATTTCTTTTTAAATGCTTTAATATGACTTTCTACCATCTTGATTCATAATGTCGGGCCCCGACCAAAGAGGGAAAACTTTTTCCGGGGGGGTTACCTCGGCGCTTTAAATTTTTAGTCAATTTTACTATTACTTTCTTTTTTCTCTTCAATAACATACCACACATACAAACATTGTCAATTTCTAGGACTATTCATTTTGATTATTGAATTTATTTACCGCAAACATTTGCAAATTTAAATTTTGTAAATTTGAAACTCTAAACATATCCAACGATAAAATTGTCTTCTGCTGGGTGGCATGAGGGATATGTTGCATTATTTCATTATTCCTCATGTACAGACATATTCAAGCCAGTTCTGCAATTTTCATGTTATTTTGCTGTGATTAATGCTTCCAAGCGTTCACACTCTTATAGGATTTTTTCCTAATATTCCATCAACAGATTAAAAACTAAAAGCAGTATCACTTAATCTATTAGTGCAACCTTGATGAAATTACTTACATAAGATAACCTATACAACTTTCTTTCATTTTAACACCATTTCATTTTATTATTCTCAGACTCACTGAACATACTAGACTCTATACTCTTCATAATCAACGCTATGTCACACATTTTTTTTCAAAAAAAATTGTTACCGTATGTAAAGTCATTTTTCTTTTTTTCCTTCAGATTTTTTCAAAAACCCCGGAAATTTTTAAAGTTATGTTTTTTCATCTTCAAAAAAATTATCATTTTTTAAAGTTAAATACTTTTTATTTCATTATTTAACCAATACTGAAGATGATACAGTCTTGACGGATAGAAAAAGTTATCACGTTTCCCTTCTTTGTAAAAGGTTGACCCAAAAATTAATAGGTTTCCTTTCAAAATTAAAAACCAATATAAGTTTAAGCTAACACAAAAACGTTAAATAACTAGGACGTATTAAGTTACAGTACATAGTTCCATAATTAGTATTGATTTCTTTATCTATTATTATATTGTAGAGCTATTTGTTCTTCATTTCATTGATTCGATTTGTGTATAAAATATGATTTCAGTGTGTAAAAAACATGTTTTAACTTAACTTTTTTTTTCATTTCAGTAACTCTAAATAACACGCTTTAAAATATATGCATTTACTTTGCATAAATGTTGATATAATTCATGCAAGTAAAGTTTAATATAACTAAACATGCTGAAATTTTTATTATTCTTTGAAATTATGCATATTAAATAAATCGCTAATGACTCTTCAATGATAAGTCATGAAAATAATCAAGAACACGTATGTTATATACCTGACTAGATGGTTGGAAATTTTGCTATTTATTTTCACTTCCTTTCTTTTGGTTGTGAATGGAATACAGAGCAAAATGACTCACTTCCTCTTCCTGTTCAATTAAAAGTCAATTGAATTATTCCCCTTTACAGTTTCCCTTTACTATTTTCTTTGTAGTTTGAGATATTTTAATTTACAGACATGATCAGTAAGATTGTAAGATTTGGATTCAAACCCAATATACAGTTAGTTTAAAAGTAAAACAGATATTATGGAAGTACCTTATATATGGATTTAGTTTTCATTTTCACCCGAAAGCAAATTGTTTTGCGTTGTATTGTTGCTATTTCAAAGATTTATCGAATGATCGAAGTATTGTATTCAGGTTGCTATGATAGCAAAAAAGTTAAATAAAACACATGTAAGAAATAAGAAGACGTATTCTAAGTGTTCGCCTTAATTATTGTTAAAAAACTGTAATTTCTTTTGCACTGTGGATTGAAGTCTCTTTGACCTAGAAACCTGGCTCCCGATGCAGGTTTGAGCTTTTTAGTTAACGTTATCATCCACTCGATGTAATGTTAATTTCGTATCACTCTATGTAGACAATAGAGCTCCATAAACAACTAGTCGATCGGTTATCTGAAACAATGATAACCGACTCATAACAAACAATGAATTCACTTAATTACAAATTTGCAAACAATATAGAATCATTGCAAATTAAAGTTAAATTCCATTTGATATAAATTTCTCAAACAGAAAAAAAAAATTTGTCTCTTGACCAAAAAAAAAAATAGTAAAAATTCTAGGTGACGAAATAGTTAATATTTGAATTATGTCATAAACATTGAAATAATATGGTAATTTAGTAAAAGAATAAAATATAAACTTACTGATAAATGCTTTCTTAACGCAAACAATTTAAAGTAAAATATCAATTTTAACAATTAAAAGTTGCACATGCTTCGCTTACTATTAAGTCGTCCTCTCGAATGCGGCTTGGTGCGCGAGTGTAGGGGACGTGCCTTATGAGATATATATTTTTTCGTATTTTTTAATCAATCAAAGTAATTGATACTTCTATTAGACTAAGTTTTTTTAATTTTTCAGAATGAGGATAGGGCCTAGCGAAATTTTTTATTGAATAATATATAAACAAGAGAACAGATAGCTCTCGTCTAACATGCGTCGTGATGGATTTAGCACATTTTATTATCCCTCATACACAGATTCAATAAAATAGAGAGAAAAAGAATCTCTAAAGAAAGGACTCAACGGCAAAATTGAAATTGTTGCAGGCTCGGTTTGATTTAGCCTGTTTATGGACAGTAACAGCGAGTGCAAGCTACTGCATCCGAGTCTGCAATTTTAATGTAATTTTGTGTTAAACAATGAAACTTCTGGAACGGAAAAAAATTAGGCTTTGACACCAGTATTAATCATGAGTCATTGGGTATCATTAGTAGTTTATTTAACGTTGTATTGCAATGGTACCTACATATATGTATACTAATAAAATTTGCAATTGGCAGATTAACTTGCAGACAAGGACTTGCGCTATATGTGAATATACTTTCCTAAATACATGTATATATTCATATATGCATTAATTATTGCATATGAGGATACAACAGCTACGAACTTATTTCATACCAAAATCTCATTTTCCAAAAAATTGGAAATACGAAGATTCGTTTTTAAAATATGATAAACAAGATCAACAGGGAAAGGCGGCGTTCAATGAACTCAACTTCCACACGACCTAGTAACAAGAGCCAGCGGCAAGTAGCCCAGGAGGACCAGTTGACATTTTGCTGGCGATTTCTATTTTATGAATACAATGTATATTTAAAGAATAACTAATAATTTATATCATTATACCCCCTATAATGGATTCGCTTTGTCGCGTCGGTCGGTCGGTCGGTCCGTCTCCATTTTCGTGTCCGCTCTAACTCCTATAGCAATTGAAGGATTTTCTTCAAACTTGGCTCAAATGTTCACCTCAACAAGGGGATGTGCAAAACCCATATTGCCTATGTGTCAGTTCAAGGTCAAGGTCACAATTGAAGGTCAAATATCAAACACTGTCAAATATTACACCGTATGTTGTGTCCGCTCTGTAAGTCCTACACTACTTGAAAGATTTTCTTCAAACTTGGCTCAAATGTTCACCTCAACAAAGAGATGTGCAGAACCCATGTTGCCCATGTGCCAGCTCAAGGTCAAGGTCACAATTGAAGGTCAAATATCAAACAATCAAATATTACACAGTATGTTGTGTCCGCTCTGTAAGTCCTACACTTAATTGAAAGATTTTCTTCAAACTGGCTCAAATATTCACCTCAACAAGGGAATGTGCAGAATCTATGTTGCCCATGTGTCAGCTCAAGCGTCAAGGTCACAATTGAGGTCAAATATCAAATAATCTATATCTACACAGTATGTTATGTCCGCTCTGTAAGTCCTACACAGAAAGATTATGTCAATCCTTGCTCAAATGTTCATCTCAACCAGGGAATGTGCACCTTAGGTCAAGGCTCACACTAATTGAAAGATCTCTTCAATTTGGCTCTATAAGAAATGTTCATAGAGCTCAACCTTAGGGAATGATTTTTGCTCTCATACTAGGAGCTCACAAGGTGAATCCCTTATGATCTCGTCATTGTACTCTCCATAAAGTAAACTCGCAAATCTCCTTTTAATAAGGGAGTGCACTTCCAATTACTAGCGTACTCAAATATTTGAGACACAATATGATCTAGCGTGTCCGCTGCTCATAACAATCACCAACGAGTACTTTACTGAGTGCGCTAGAGAAATTCCTTCTATATAGAGAGAAGCTTTCTACTAAATTTTATTATCCTCGAGGAAAAACCAATTGTTATCTCTATATAGACAGATCCATGTCAACCCTTGTAATGCGCCTCTGCTTGACTCTCTAAAGGTCCAAGAGCTCCCAACAACATCTCTGAGAGTGAAGATTGTCTATCATAACTGTCTCATGAATGACCTATACACACACAACAATGATATCTCTTTGAATAGTCTCCTTATAAGGCATAAGTGTATACCTTGTGAATAAAGTTATCTGTATATGCATATGCGCGGGCAAAGGCACCGATTTTAGCCTTATAGAACATCTTTATATGGATACCGTAACGATATGCACACGTTAGGTAATTGTGAGAGTGCTGGTGGTCAAACTCCTCCTCGCAATGCGTTCAAACGTTCTTTCTATATCTTATCATCTTGCTCGATGCGATTCTGTATGCCAAGTGTTATTGCACCTCGCTTGCCCTTACCGTCTCCAGCAATATTATCTAAGCCTCCAAAATAACTAGACACGACCCGTATATTGTTCTACTCTATAAATTCTCTGAACGTTCTTTAAACTAGTACTCTCAGAAGAGCGATCTTCAAACTTTACTCATAATAGTGATTCTCAAACCGAGTACATAGCACGAATACAGATGCGCGTTGGTCGAGCCGATACAAACTCAGCCAGTACATCTTGAGCGGCGCGGCGGTCATTCTGACGCGCATTTACCACCAGAAAACGTCTAGAGACATAATTCGAGACAACGAGCCACAGTTGTAATCAGTCGATATATATATATAAGTCGTGATTTCTAAATAATCGATGAGAGGATGCGAAACTGGAAAGAGATGATTATTCTCCTGTGGAGTAACAAGTAGTTTTCGCTTAGACGATGCATATTAGTAATTGAATTGACCTAATTAAGTCATACTAAAGCACTTAAGTACGAATAATCTTAACATATTTCTTCACCAGAGCATAATACTATCGTTCTCTGAATAAATATCTGAAGTTTAAGAGCCACCTATATATAGCGATCTCACATGAGATTGCCGTTAACCCTACATAGTATTTCAAGTGGTGTGTGCGTAATCTCGTGAGAGTCAATGGAATCATATTAATGAGAAGAGGAGGCGTCAAGGCGTGATATAATCCGCTGAGTTACTCGAGGCACGAATAAAATATGAGGATTAATATACATGAGTCGTTTTCCCATGAATCTATTTAAAAAATGTATTATTTAGTACTTGAGCTTCAAAGTGTATTTTGCCTCACAAGAGAGGTAACTAAGTGTATATTGTGCCATACATCTTCTTCTCATACCCATAAGGATCCCAGTACGGGCTTAATTCGATCTACGTATGCTATGGATTGCAACCAATATCCCTGATATATTAGACGATACATGTATATTTCTGTAAAGTTCTGCTATAATAAGAGCCCACTCTCGACAAATAGAAATGGCGAGTTTGGTTACAGACGAGACATAACCACTGAACACGGGGTGGCAAATGAACTATAGGAGTATGAGCGATTTATAATCTGTCAAACCGTGAATGTAATCTATGTGCTATCTCTAGTCCGCGCTTACTTTACAAATTTTATTTAAAAACAAGAATAATACACACTCAAATCTGAAAATAAATATAGGGCTTCATACTTGGATTGAATTTACTTATATGTGGAAATATACAAGGTCAAAAAACTTCTTCGACTGCCTGACATTCTATTGTTCACCTAATCAAAGTTCCACATCCATTTCTAGAGGAATATCTGAGTATATCACGATCTCGAGCCAACATATAAGGTTATATACACATCAGAAAATTCGTATGAGCATCATACTGCTAACATTCTAATACACTCATCGAACAACTGGGGGTAAGTGATTATCGAAAGCGGAGTGATGTGCTCTGCACAGATAATAATATGAGAGATCTTAATAGGAGTAGAATTATAGCGACATACTAGTGAGTGAATCTATTAAATGGCCGATATCATATTTTCGTACTTTTGAGAAAAGGTTTTTTAAGGTCTTGACATTACAAAATAGTGTTCTCCAATACTAAAAAAATCAGTCTTAAATCTTTCTTGTAACAGTAACTGTTTTCATATGCTTACACGAATGATCTTATATTTCTGGTTGCACTGGTAACGAGAAAAAAAGAAAAATGCATAACAATGAAAATAAGGTATAGCAAAAGACATGCAATAAATCGGCTTTCCGAATGTAACATTTCA